GGAGACGCGGGCAGAAGGAGCCATGCCGCCACTATCTTCTACGACGCCCAGATCTAAAGGGTGCAGTCAGACCTATAGGACAGAAGAGCATCCTTCAAGAACACGAGACCCTCCGCCGGCCAAAACACACAGAACATCCGAGAGTTCCTTGTCCAGGATGCACAAGAACACCCAACCAGCAAGAAACACATCAGGGCACCCTCCCCAAACCGACCTCGATTTTATACCTGGCCCCGCCCGAACGAGGGGGAATCGGGGATGGGCAGAACACCCTTTCATCGGGAGGCGTCCGCACAGAGAGCACCCGAGAAGGACGCTCGGAAACCATGGTCGGAGGCATGTGCGCGGACGAGCGGGGGGGAGAGGGGGGAGCGTAGTAAAAGTAGGAGGCGGGACCATGCAGTCAGGGAGACATCATAAACCCCGCCATGATATGCACATATCCCCCCAGTCGTCCCGATCCCCGCAGGGGTGGACAGCACACCCCTTCGCAACACTGCTTCGTCGGCGACGCTGGCGGTCGCAAGCGTGCCTGTCGAGCCGGTGGGTCCCGCCGGGCACGGGGCACGCTGACGGATGGAAAAGCAGAGGGCGGCCGCGGAGGCAGAAGGAGTTTGGGCGGGCATGTCCTCCTGCAGGCGGGTTTTGGTTGATGAATAAAAGTGAATCCGCCAATCGTTAAAACAAGCATACCAATACAGAAGAAAGTCACCAGACTATGTTCTATCCTTGAAGTTCGTTCTCCTGTAGAGAGGAGGCCCGAGCCGTCGAGGGAGCCCCTCTCGCAACGCACCCCTTTATGGCGAAGGAGAGTCTGTCCCAGGACCCCAGCCCGGAGGGCGCAGGCGCGCAGCCAGCACACGTCTGTGGCCGCAGCGGCTCGCTCGAGAACCGAGAACGGGCCATTCGCGAGTCGACTTGGCAGGGTGGGGCTTCTTCGAGTGGGGGCTCGTCTACAGAACTGATTTACCCCAAACTTGATTTTCCCGTCGAATGTTCCAACAAATGCGCAGAATGTTCTTAGACCTACAAACATTATGAGCGTTTTTCTGTCTCGTAGCTTCGACGAACGAGTCACTTTCGGGGCGAATCTTTTCTGTGGACGATCCACTGCTCGAGTTCTACGGGCTCGCCGCGGCGGCCACGGCGACACACGCCATGCCCTGCGAGCGGATGGCGTGTCGCTCCGCTCCGCGGGGCGGGAGGCGCGGAGAGGCTTGGGACGTCGACGCCTGGGGCCTGGGGAGTGGACAGCGCGTCGCGCCGAAGCGTGGTGAGCAGGAACCGGTGGCGCGACACGCTGTCCAAAAGTCCCCGACCGCAGCATCCTCCGAGGGAGGGGGCGGCACAAAGAGGGGGCGGTTCTGGGGTCTACTGACCAGTGCCAGTGCAAGCCCGGATCAGTCAGGCCCTGCAGGAATCCTGCCAGATCCTGCAGGATCCTGCGCCTCAGCCCGGGTCAATGCACCCTCTGCTCCTGCAGGATCCTCCACGATCCGGAGCTCTGGCTGAACCCCGCTTGCATTGACCCCCGTCTCAAGGCTCCTGAGCGGTGACTGGTGCGAGGCTCCCGGCTGGAGCCAGCACGCAGGCCTTCCGAGCCCCCCCGCGGGGGCAGGCATGCGGACAGGGTCGCCCCCGCAGAGCCCCCGCAGCAGCAGATCAGAGAGAGGCCGGCCCAGACCTCCGACGAGGTGCGTTTTCCAATCTGGGCGTGTTTCCTCGACTGCGCCCTCCGGGCCCCCAGGCCATCGAACAGGGATCCAGGACGAAAAACTACCCCCAGGGAGGGACTCGGGGACTCTGGGCCGCGGATAAAAGCAGCATAACATAGCAGAAAACATCGCCAGATGTCGGGGGGGGGGGGGGCTCGCGAGCGTGCCCGCGCGTGCCTTCTAGGACGGGCCCTTACCACCACCACCCCTGCTGACTCGGGCGCGCTGACACGCCAAGATGGACTACGGACCCGTGGAGCCGGCGCGGGAGCGCCACAACCTCGGATCGGGGAAAGCGCCCCCCCCACCACATGGGGCAAGGGCCGCGCCCTTTGGCGACGGAGCGCCCCGATTCCGCACAGAAGCGGGGCCCCGCCGCCACCCCACGCGCCCTTTCCTCCACGGGTGCGCCTCCTCGACTGCTGGCCACCCCTGCTGCCCTCTCTGCCAGCTCCCCCTCCCGAGCTCCCCGTGCCAACCTCTGCGGCGGCACCGGGGCGGACGCGCACGCACGGGCGCAGCACACCTGGGTCGGGCATGTCCTCCTGCAGGCGACGCTTGGACGACAAATGAAGCACCGTAAACAAAAAAAAAGTCGGCACCTGTGGACCACTCGTCCCAGGACGATTTCTCATTTTCGACCTCTCCTCCTGTCGAGGCTCCTGCCCGACCGAACCCTGCGACCGCCGTGCGGCCGGTGCCAACAGGAGCCCCGCGCAGGGAACCGCACCGCGGGGGCATCCTGGCCAGGGCGAGGCTCGGCCACGAGCGGGCAGCGGGCTCCTGGACCCGGGCCTCTGGAAGGAGCGGCCCGAACGCCAGACGCCCCGCCCCCCCCCCTGCTGAGCAGCACGGGGCCCTTCCTTCCGCGCCTTGGCTGCGACGCCGCCCGGGACGCCAGCCTCTCTGCTCGGACCAGCCTCCTCCACCTGACGGCGCCGCCACGAAGCCACGGCCTCTTCCTCCTCGCTCCCAGAGGTCCTCAGGGAGGCCTCCGTGGGTGTCCCTGGAGGCCCCCGGGGCCCAACGGGCCTTAGACGACCATCAGCGACACCAGGCATAGGGTGCCCGAACGGTTCTGCTCTGTCCCTGCGCGCGGCCGCAGGTCCTGGAGCTGTCTCTGCGGGGGCCGAGCTGGGGGGCTACGCTTACTTGGGGTCCTGCTGGGAGGCCACGCTGGGAGGCCACGCCAGGGGGAGATCCGCGGGGTCTGGCTTTGGGGGTGTGTGCGGCAGGTTTGTGTCGTGGCGACTTCTGTGTTGGTTCGACAAGTTCTGGCTCGCCGGCGGCGTTCAACGTTGAACGCCGACGGCGGGGTCGCCGCTGGTCGACACGACGCGAACCTACCGCACCTGTCCGCACATCCAACGAATCGGCCAACGATCCATGTATCCACCCATTCAGCACAAATCTACATAACTCTCGATTCACCCATCCACCTAGCCATCCAGCCGCACATGCGTCCATCGATGAAGCTCCCATCGCAAGCACCAGTGCATGCGCCCATCCATGCATAGACTTGCACTGGCACGCGCGTTCGCCTTGCGGGGCGACCCGTAGATAGCACCGAACTATCCCCAAAAGCATGGAGATGTCCGTTGAATCGCCCAAGATGGCCAGACACGGCCACGAGATGTCCCCAAGAGGCTCCGAGACGGCCCCCACAAGCCCCAAATTCTCGCCAACTAAGAACAGAGATGCGCGTAGCATTCCTGGAGGTCTCTCCGGCTCCCATTGCTCCTCCATGTCCTCTTGCTTTTCCTGCTCATGCTCCTGGTCCTGGCGCCCTATGGGGCCAACGTGGGTTTTTCTGGAAGCCCTCTTCGGCTCTCCTGGGGCCCTAATGGCAGTCCTGGGCCGTCTGGGGGCCCTCTTGAGGCCCACTTGGGGCGCTTATGGGCGATCTTTGGCTTGGCTCCGCCGGTGCCCTTCTGGCGCTGAAAAAGCGGTGGTCCGAACACTAAAGGAAACTAGAGGAATTCCCGAGGTTTGACACATGGTTTTGGACATCTCGGGGTCCTATGGAGGCCCTCTTGTGGCCTCTGTCTGGGAGGCAAGTCAGGGCTGCACTGTTTCAGCGTTTGGCTCTAGCACGCATCTCCGCACACCACCGGCTCGAAGTACATGGCTGACACCTTCCAAAGTGTGCTCACAAGAAAGACCGTTTGGCTCTGCCCTGGACAAGGGGCGATTAAGCATCGCAATACCCGAGCCAAGTAGAAACTCGACGTTCCAAGAGCTGGTCAGCAACGGCGTAACACACCGTGTCCTGCAGCAGATTAGCATGCGGACATGACCAGCACTGCAACAGCTGCCGTGCTGCTGCAGTTCCGTTCCAAGCGCTCTTGTCGAGCGTGCCGCCTCAGAGCCTCATGTTAGTTACATCTGACGCATGCCGAGATGCAACGAGGCAGCGGTGACAAAAAGAAACACGATACGACGTACGCTGTAAAAGTCAGCTGCAGACGTAACCAAAAAAACTCAAGCTTCAAAACGAGCCTGATAATCATGCCACTAGTGGCGTTCGCCGACACTCTGGTTTGCGCCCGTCCTGAAGAAGAAGATATGGACATAGCGGGGACAGATCGGGAATCTCTGATACCGGGTGGTTCTGTAGGGTGTACCAGGCACCGCGGCCGTTCAAGAGCGCTCCGGAACGCTCTTAGATGGTTCCAGAGCGCTCCGGGGAACGCGATTTATCCCTGGGGGTACAAAAGGTCTCGACGCGGGTGCATTCTGACCAGAATTTCGCAGAGAATGTAGCCCTCACGACGAGGTCTCTCCAGGACGACAAGCGGTGTCGGCGTCTTCCCCGCAGAGGAGGGAAGGCAGAGGGAGGACCGCGGTCGCAAGGTCCTGATGCTCACCAGGACTGCATGGACCCTCATCTCGGCGGCGCGCCCTGGGGGGCAAGGTGAGAGAGGGTAGTGCTTCTCAGCAGGCTTCGGGGCTCCTCCGAAGCCCCTTGGCCTCCTGCAGTGACCAGGCTCTGCGCGGGGAGAGGCCCGCGGAGGCCGCCCCCTGCGCCCTGCAGGGCATCACAAAAAAAAACTGGCTCGTGCGAGCTTGCCGCCTGCGCCGCGCAGCGGGCTAATCCCCGACCTTTGCAGAGGCCTCCCCGATGGGGTCCGAGCAGATGGGGTCCGCCGATGCATCGTCGATGCCTCGGAGACGTCGTCGATGCATCGGCGCCGTCGGCGTGCACGAGATCGGGCTCCACACCGAGCGCGTCGGCGGTGCATCTGCGACGCCTCCGGATCCTCCGATCCCACCTGCTCGGAAACCATTTGGGATTGGAGGCGGCCAAGGGATCTGAGCTGGCTCAAAATCTGTCCCCAGACCCCTCCTGGGGTCGAAACTGACCGGTTTTTCGAGCCACGTCCAACCGTGGCGACGTCGGGGGCCATGTCTACCCCACTTCTGCTGGCCAGAACCAGGGCTGCGCCACCTCAGCCCCCCCAGCCGGCTCCAGATGTGGGATGCCTGGATTTCGAAGCATCACTGCGCCACCCTGCGGATGCAGATCCGCGGTGAATTCCTTCGGCGGCGAGCCCGGGGGCGGAAGCGAGAAGGAGAAGGCCTTCTCAGAAGGCTCGGAAGTCCGCCAGCCTTCTGGGAAGCTTCCTCTGCCATCCCTGAAGACACAGAACAAACTTATCACAAGCCCTTCTGAGAAAGCTTCCTCTTTCTCCCCTCCACCTACACCTTCCATACCCTCCGACCTCCGCGAAATTGGCACGGAGCAGTTCATCGAAGCTCATGGAAGCCTTACGTAATTCAAGGAAGCCCGCACGGATCATGTCGGAAAAGGGGCGGAAGGTCAGGGCGGAAGGCCCGGAAGCATGAGGGGGAGGGCCGTATCCCCCTCGCTCGCCGCCGATTCCTCCTCCAGCGCCCGTGCAGATGGGGGCACGGGTGCTGGTGGGCTCCGCGCCCCGCCCGTGCGCGCAGCTGCGCGAACCCGCACTCGGCGGCGCCTGTTCAGCCCGACGCCGAGTGCGGCTGCAGCTGCCCGCGCGCAGCGAGGGGCCATTCAGACGTCGCACGCCACGACCGGCATGGCGTGGGCCTGGGAGCGGCGCTTCGCACTCAGCAGCCACTCGCCCTGCCCCACGTCCTCGAGCTCTGGGCGCGAAGCAGCGGGGGGGGCGACAAGGAGGGGGGGTGGGCAGCGAGGGCTGCCGCAAAGGGGCCCTCGGGCGCCCCAGAGAGGGGGCCCGAAGGAGGGCACCCTCTTTCCCCCACCGCATCCATTCGCGCCCAAGAGCTCCTCAGCGCTGCAGCTCCGGAGCTTCGTGCACTGGAGCCGTTGCACCAGGTCCTCTTCCTCGTCCGCTGCAGGTGCCGGCGGCGGCAGGGGTCGCCGTGCGGCCGCACCAGCCTGGAACATGTCGTGCTCCATGTCGAGCAGGAACTGCTGCTGGGGGCCCAGCACGCTGCCCGGCCTGCACGTCCTGATCCAGCCGATGAAGGCTCTTGCTGGGAACTGGAAGTGCTTCATCGCATAGAGCCCGATGAGCGTGCCGGTTCTGCCCAGACCAGCCTTGCAGTGCACCGCGACGGCACCCGCCTCGCTCTCCACGATGCGAAGGAATTTGCTGACGATTTCTGGCGAGGGGCAGGTGCCGTCCGGGAAGAAGAGATCCACATGCTTGATACCCTGATTGACGAAGGGCTTCGGGTCGTACTGCTTCTTGTTCAATCGAACAACCAAGCTGATGCTGGCCTCGTGAAACATTGGTGCATAATCTTCAGGGGTGAGCGTTGGATACCCGTCTGCGTCGACCGAACTTGCAGAGGGAGAAGCAAATGCCAGGAACTTGCCGGGGATGATCCAGTTCATGTCGCCGTTCTGGCAGTCTGCGAAGTAGTCGTAGGAGTGCCTGTTGAAGCGCCTCCAGTCGAACCACCCGAGGTCGATGGCAGCCTTGAGGCCACTCAGGCAGTCCAGCAAGGTGCAGTCGTAGGAGCACGGGCCACGGAGGGCGTCGCGGTACGGCGCGAACTCTAAACCAAGCTCTTTGAAATGCCCATACGCGACCTCCGGGGACCTGCCCAAGACCATCACCTGAGCGACGATCAAGAGCCAGGTCTTACGCGAGATGAAGTGGCGACCTTTCGCCGCGGCTTACGCGGGCCGCCAGCGCGGCACGCTGTATTGGAGGCGAGGGCCTTACCGCGCGAGCGCGACCTTGCGCGGGCAGCTTTCGCGCCAATGTCGGTGCAAACGACCCCGTTTTTGGGCGTCGCTCACCTGGTACGCGCTCGCTAGCCAGGCTGCGTTCGTCCGCTTGTGGGGGTCCGGGGAGCAGTAGTGGACGAGGCACCTCCCGGCCAAGGCGGGGTCGTCGAGCTTGGCCTGCACCATCCTGGCGTACACGTGGATCGCCGACAAGTTCAGCGGGCCTAGAGGAACATATCAAAGGCATAAGCGTAGAGTTTCGAAGGTCCGCACGGATCTCTTGGATCGGTGCTGCCCCCCGGCCCCTTCCCTGGCGCGCGGAGCGCGCCAGGGGCGGCGCCAGAGGCGCCGCCGGGGGGGGCCCACCGCCAAACCCAGACATCCGCGCGGAGCTCCGAAAGTGTATGTTCATGCACTTGTTTGTCTCGGGGATGGACAGACCACCCTTTAGTAAAACGCGGTTTCGTGAAAACGACCTGAGGCCCAAACCTGGCGGGCGCAAGCCTGAAGAATGACGGCCACGGCGCCCTCTCGAGAACCGAAAACGGACAATTCACTAATCGATGTGTCACTGTTGGGGGTTCTGTCCGCCCCCGATTGTCCCTCGAGGGCCAAAGTCGGCAAGAAGCGGGTGGTAGACGAGGTGGTCGTCGGTGCAGAAGAAGACCGCCTCCTCCCGAGGGACCGCCCGCAGGAGCGCCTCCTGCGACTCGCTCTCCAGGCCGACCCAAAAGAACCTGTCCCAGTATCCGTGAGCATCGAGTCGGGAAATCGGACCGGATAGGGACGTGCGTCGAATCGGGCTGCATCGGCACGGGGCCCGAACCAATTCGGATCGGCTGCACCCAGAGACACAGACACGCTGCGCAGGCATCGGGCCGCATCGGATCGCCGGGAAGTCGAGGTCGAATCGGCCAGAGCCATGCGAACTCTGCATCGAACCGCGTCGACCGAATCGATAGGGGCTCTGACCTGTCTTCGATGATGCAGACCGCGCTGGGCAGCTCGGTCCCCAGCTTCCCGAGGCCTGCTACGCTCGGCGGCGCCGCGGGGGGCGCTGGGCTCATCCCCGGGCTCGCGGGGCCGTCCGTGGTGCACATCTGGGGGGCGGCGCGGCCCAGTGCCAACGAGGCTCAAGCCGAGACCTGAACTCAAAATGCCAGCGGAAACCAGCTTGGGGCTATATCTTTGAGCCCCTGGGCCCTGCTGGGCCTTCCTGCGGTAGCCTGGAACTCTCTTGGGACACGCTGCCCTGCGCTTGGGCTCTCCTGCGGCCTCCTGGGACCCGTAACGCTGGCAGACCCTGGAGGGGGCAAGGAAATCGAGGATGGCGTCCTGGCCAGACCTTAACTCGGCATTTCCCTTCAACTTTTATGACCACGGGAGGGACCCTCATGGTGGCTCGCTTGGCGCGCCCTGGGATCTATGCTCACACCTCTTGAATTTCTATGATGCAGAGAGGCTGCTGAAATAAGGGGCACTAAGCAAGGAGGAGGGCTAGAGGAACAGCCACGGAAGGACCTGAGGAACATCGAGCTCCTTTCGTGACCCAAGCTGTTCCTTATCTCAGCGTCTTGTCGTAAGCTCAAACCTCAGTGCTGCTCCGTGGCTGCTAAACCGGTCTGCCCATAAGAAAAAAACAAACAAACTCCCGGAATTAAGGTCAGCGCGCCAAATAGTAAACGGGCTGCTTCCCTGAAGAAGAAAAAATCCTGGAGCTTCGTTTTTCGGGCATGGGCAGAACCCCCTTTAGCAAAATGTGGTTTAGTGAAAACGACCTCGGGCCCAAACCTGGCGGGCGCAAGCCTGGAAAACGACGGCCGCGGCGCCCTCTCGAGAACCGAGAACGGACAAGTCACTAATCGACGTGTCACTGTTGGGGGTTCTGTCCACCCCCGAGTTTCAGCAGCCACGGGTCTGCCAGCCTTCGCTTGGCTTCTGAGAGGGCAGCATCGCTGATCGTTGCAGCATCGCTGATCGTGGCAAGCCTTGCCCCCCCAGCCTCGAGGGTCGAGCGAAAGGACCTTCGGACGCTCCCGGCCCCCGCCGGCCTCCAGAGGTGGCGGGGGCCCTCCAGGGGGGTTGTCAGGACTAAGTCGGGCGTGTCTCCCCAGAGGGGGATCTTCGACGAAAAATAAAAAAGTACTCCAAAAATAGTCCAACATGGTCAAAACATTCAAAAAGTAGTCCCCAGACTTCTTTGTATAGCTATGTTCGAGCACTCCTCCTGCAGAGGGACGGGTCCGACTGAAGGTCAGGACCTGTGGGGGCAGCAGCGAAGCTTACTGGTGGAGTGGCGCGTCCTGGCGGAGTGCTCTGCTCACCCTCCTCTCCTGTGGCCGCTCCTCTCCTCCAACGCCTCCCCGCCTTGCGTCTGGACAGCTCGCAATGCCGTCACACCGCTGGCCCGAGCGCGCGCGCGGACTGCCTCTGCCGCGCCGCGACGTGGCAAAATGCCTCCTCCCCCCCCCCCCTGCCGAACTGAGATCTGACCAAGGGCTCCGAGGTGGATCCGGCCCGGGCCCCCCGGGGCGCCCCAGAGGGCCCCCCCCCGGTGCGCGGGGGGGGTGGGGGGGGGGAAACTCCATCCCCGAGCCCCCGCAGGCATCCGAGGATGCGATGCTTCCATCCGTGGAGCCAGCGCTGGAGGGCAGAGGAGCCGCCCTCCTCGCGCGACGCGCCCTCCGACGAGCAGAGCCCCCTTTGGAGCACGCGCGCCTCCAGCAGGCAAGCCTCGGGCCTCGGGCAGGGCTGCGCAGTCCGCGCCCCCGGGCTGCTTCGCACACGCCAGGTGCGGGGGTCGGGGTGGCTTCAAAAAGCTCTTCCTCCTCCTCCTCCTCCCTCCTCCCTCCTCCTCCTCCTCCTCCCTCCTCCTCCTCCTCCTCTCCTCCTCCTCCTCCTCCTCCTCCTCCTCCTCCTCCTCCTCCTCCTCCTCCTCCTCCTCCTCCTCCTCCCTCCTCCTCCTCCTCTCCTCCTCCTCCTCCTCCTCCTCCTCCTCCTCCTCCGCTGGGCTCCTCCTCCTCCTCCTCCCTCCTCCTCCTCCTCCTCCTCCTCCAGATCGCTCCCGGGGGGATAGCCTGGCATCATGTGGGCCCATTCTTGGTGACCCCGCGGGGCCGGCCGAGGCTGAGGGAAGGCGCCGCGACCGAAAACAGCTAGCTACCTGAAGTCTGTCCGCCCTCTTTCCTTCGGGGCCAGGACCAGCGACACCATCGCCACCAGGGACCACCAGCAGGAGGCGCAAGGGGGGGCCCCCCTGGTGGTGTGGTCCTCCCCTCGCTCGAGACATCCCCTGTCCCCAGCTCGGGAAGGCATCGTGGACCTCTTCGCTGGATGTGGCCCCCCTGGAGGTGGTGGTGTCGCCCTTCCTGCCCCCGACGGCGACGACGACGACGACGACGACGACGACGACGACGACGACGACGACGACGACGGTGGCGACGATGGCGACGATGGCGACGGCGGACGACGACAACGACGACGACGACAATGACGACGACGACGACGACGACGACGACGACGACAATGACGACGACGACGACGACGACGACGACGACGACGACGACGACGACGACGACGACGACGACGACGACGGCGGACAACAATGACGACGACGGCGACGACGGCGGACGACAATGACGACGACGGCGGACGACGACGACGACGACGACGACGACGACGACGACGACGACGAGACGCCCATGGAGGCACAACCTGCCCGCGGGGGCGCAGCAGCAGCGGGTGGGGAGGCAGGCGGTGCTCGGCGAGGAAGCGGCAAGCAGCTCGCTGCAACAGGGGACGTGTCGACCACTGCCCCAGGCTTCGTGGGGTCTTCGAGTGGACCAGGAATCTGGTGCCCAACCCTGGGATTAGAGGAAAGAGAACTATGCACATACACCGATTCTGGCCAGGCCCATCCTGAGCCCAGGATCGGTGCATACGCCCTCCTGCCTTGGCCAGGAAGGCATATGCACCGATCCTGGGTCAAGGATGGGCCTTGCCAGGATCGGTGCATGTGCATAGTTCTCTTCGCCCGAGGGATGCACGATGGGGGGGGGCGCCCATCCTCGATAGCGGTGCGGCCGAAGAGCCCTCCTTGGGGTGTATCCCAGGGTGTTCCCCCTTGTTCCTGAGCGGCCAGACGTTTCGGGCGGGGAACTCGGGGATTGGGGGGGAAGAAGATCGCCTGCGATCTGCTCAGTCCCCCCCGCTACCACTGGAGCGTCGAAAGCAACCGGTCTTACGAGAGGAGGCGCGGTGACCTGACGCCGCGGCTCACGCGGGCCGCCCGCGTGGCACACCGCGTGGAGAGAGGGGGGGGCGCGCTCACCGCGCGACCCCGCGCGGGAAGCCAGCGCGCACCTGCCGGCACGGTCGACCTCCGTTTCTTCCGTCGCTCCCCTGGCGAAGGGCACAAAGGGGGGGCATAGCGCGAGTGGGGACGCCACGCGAGAAGGCGGGGGGGGCTTCCAGGAAGGCCAGGGGGGGGCTCCCTTGGAAGGCCTTGAAGGGCGCGGCGACGCAGCAGCGGCGCAGCAGCCGACCGAGCCGAGCCCAGCGAACGCAGCTGGCTGCGGCGCAGCCGAACCGACCGAACCGCGCACAGCCCTCGGACCCCAGCATCTCTCCAGCGACGGCCCGAGCGGCGCCCCCACCAGCGATTTTCCTGAATCGATGAGAGGTGGGGTAGGGTTCGAACTTGGAAACCAGGATCTCTCCGGTGACGGCCCGAGCGGCGTCCCCCTTAAAAGGGCTAATCCGGTGGCGACATCCGAACCCTGCCCCTACCAACCAGCGACTTTCCTGAACCGATGGGAGGCAGGGTAGGGTTCGAACTACGCCACGTGTCCGACGAATTCCGAACCCTACGCCCGCCACACATCGAGTTGCCAGACTCGTTGATCGGCGAGGGTTGGATTCGGAACTCGCCGCCGAAGCCGCTAAGTCGGGAGAAGTCGAATCGGCGGAGCCCGAAGCCGAATCTAACCCGAATCGGAATCGACATGGGATCGACATCGAACCGAATCGAGTCGGATGCGTCGTCGACATGAGCCCTGCAGATCAGCATGGAGGATGCGGGCCCTGCGGGAGACGGGCCCTGGACCCCGGACCCCCCCCCCACAGGACGAGAGTTTCCTCCCGAGCCGTCTCCTGGGACGCCCCAGGGCCCGTGGAAGGCCCCGAGGGCCAGAACACGGCGACAGACCTCAGGACACGCTTCCCTCGGGACCCGATGCACGGCGAGCAGAGCGGAGAAACCAAAACGTACCGATACCGCTGCTCCCCGGACGTCTCCCAGGGCGTGTTCTGACGCGGACTTCGAGGCGAATCCAGCGATGGCGACGAGGGCTCCCTAGGAGGCCTAGAGCGGAGATAACGAGGCAGGGGTAGGGGTACCCTTTCCTCCTGTAGGAGCTTCCCCCAACCTGAGATCCGACGTCTCGACGGAAGTGAGGCATCGTGAAGAATGACGACCAGAGCCCCGCACCCCATCTTTCTGCGGCACTGTTCGACCCGCGTCGAGCTGTGAGGGTCCCGGGGCCTGAAATTCGGCGAAAACGGCCGGTGCGAACCCAGCACTGCGACGTCCTGAATCTTTCAGGATGGGATCCTCGAAGTCCCGACCCGTTCCCGGGGACCGGTGCTTCATCCCGAGTCGCTCTTGTTGACGGTCCCGAGGCCCGGCGAGGGCCCCCCGAGGCCGAAGATGGCCAGAAACCTCCCGTCCTGATCTCTCTACGCCGCGATCCTGCCTGGCAAGAGCTTGCCACGCCAGCACCTCTTGGCATGGACCCGCCTCCCCGGCGGCGAGCCGAGGCCGGGAGGTCCTGAGCGGCTCTGAGGCCGGCAGCGGCAGCTCGCCGCCGCCGGCCCCGACCACCAGCGGCACGCAGGAAAGGGCGTCGCACCAGAAGCCGGCGGAGCACAGCCGCCGCCTGCGCGGGTGCGCCGCCGCGCTCGCGGGGGCGGGGCGCGCGGCCCGGAGACCCCGCGCCTCCCCTGCTCTTCTCGCGCGCGTCCTGCGGAACTCCTCCACACGCGGGAGCACGAGCAGCAAGGCCTTTGTACCAGGCCTGGGGTCAGGCCGTCTGGTGGCAAGAGTGGACAGCAACGGGTGCCATCAAGTCACCCTGCCCGCCTCCCTGGTGCGGCGCGCACGGGGAGGTCGGAGGAGGGGGGAAGGCTTCTTGGAAGGACCCTGAGATCATGACATTGCAAAATGTTTTCACGATGGGCGTTTGCGCCCGGTTTCAGGCCCGGGGGCCCTCGCATATCGATACGGCTCGAATAATGGCGCAGAAAGATCGGGTCCAGAGCCCTGGCCGTGATCTTTAACGATGCTGCGTTTCTTTCGCAACGTCGGATTTCAGGGTCTGGCGGTGCGCAGAAGGGGGTCGGGGGAGGGGGGGAAGGCGTGTTAGAGGAGGGCCCGCGCCGTCTACGCGGCAGCGCGCGTGGCCGATCCTTACAGGTGGGGGCAACATCGTCCACCCCGAAGCCCAGCCAGGACCCCCACTCCCGGCGTGATCCAAGAGGCCCTCGGGCTGGGGGTGCGGGATCGTTTCTGTTGGAGGCTCTTGGGGGCCAGAAGCGCCTGCCCTCCCCTTTGGCCGGGGTCCCCTGGATCACCAGGTCGCGAGCGAGTGGGGGTCCTGGCTGGGGTTGGCGGTGGGTTGCGCTGTCCTCAATGAGATGCCTCCCAAGTTGGGTCCGAGCAGACGAGGTCGGAGAATCGCGCCGCATCGATGGTGCATCGCCGATACATCGGCAATGCATCGGCGATGCACCGGCGACGTCGGCGTGGAGCAAATCGGGCTGCACATCGAGCCACATCGCCGATGCATCGAAGATGTAGCGCGATCTTCCGACCCCATCTGCTCGGACCCGATTTTTATGACTCTACGCCGCTGAGAAGGCAAACCGCCGCAGTAGTCATTAAACTAAATGCACACAGCATCGGAAGCGACTCCTGCAAATTAAACCCCCTGAGACCCCCTGCTCCACAGGGTTAGTCTCTCCTCGGAGGGTGTCCAACCGCGCCTGCTTACCAAGTAACCCAGCTTGTGAGACATCCTGCTCCGCAAGATTCGTCCGTCTCCAGATGAGTCCAGCCAGTCCCGCTCCACAGGTTGTCTGGCTTTTGAAATTGCTGACTCCATAGCATACATATCCTTTAAACACGCTGTAACAAAAAAGCGGTGATCAATCACACCTCCTCGACCAACCGCGCTTTTAGTAGTAAAACTCCATGCTCCCCAAGAAGATTGACTCTGCTTGTCTGTCTAATGATGTGTCTCTCTCTCTCCTTCTCTCTCTCCGCGCCTCTCTCATCCCTAGGGCGTGCCGAGAGAACTCCACAAGAGGTGTCCAACGACGCCCGCTTCACATATCGTAGGTGTCCAAACAAAACTGCTGTCATGTGCAATGTGCCTCCCATGGCGGGCTCGAGCCCGAGCCCGGGTGATGCCGCAAGGGAGTGGGGAGGAGGACGAACGGCGCCGACAATCGCCGGCAATCCCTCTCTCAGACTTTGACGTCAGGCGTGGCAGTGTACGCCTTGGCGGGCGAGTGCGCCTGCTCGCCGTGCATGGCCAGGTCCATGTTCTCCTGCTCCTCGCTGGTGGGCACGATGGGGCGCACGAGCCCGATGACCTTGAGGAGCACGACGGTGACCACGAAGGAGTAGGCTGCGCAGAGGCTCGCCGCCGCCACCTGCTTCCCGAACTGCTCGCCGGAACGCGTCACCGTGCCCGGGTTCACGCACCAGCTGGGCTGAGCGCCGCCCTCGCCGCACTCCGCGGGGTCGGCCAGCAGGCCCAGCAGGCAGGTGCCCATGAAGCCGCCCATGCCGTGGACGCCCCACACGTCCAGCGCGTCGTCGACGCGCAGCTTCTTGCGGAGCTCGCAGAGGCCGTAGCACGCCAGCGCCGCCACGACGCCGATCACGAAGGCGCCCCACGGCTGGATGAAGCCGGCGGCGGGGGTGACGGTCGCGAGACCGGCGATGGCCCCCACGCACTTGCCGACGAGGGTTGGCTTCTTGTTGATGGCCCAATCGACGAGCATCCACACGAAGCACGCCACGGACCCGGCGATCTCGGTGTTGACAGCCGCCGCCACGGCGATGCCGTCGGAGGCAAGCGCGGAGCCGCCATTGAAGCCGAACCAGCCAAACCACAGGATGGCGGTGCCCGTGGCGACCATGGGGATGTTGTGAGGCACGTCCATGTCCTGCTGGCTCATGCCCTCGGGCACGGCTCGGCGGCCCACCACGACCAGGCTCGCGAGCGCGGAGAAGCCGGCGGTGATGTGCACGACGATGCCGCCAGCAAAGTCCCACACGCCCCACTCGGACATCCAGCCGCCTCCCCACACCCAGTGGCAGAACGGGGCGTACACGAGGACCATCCAGAGCGTCACGAAGGCCATGTAGGGACCAAAGCGGAAGCGGTCGGCGAAGCAGCCCGTCATCAGCGCCGGGGTGATGACCGCGAACATGCCTTGGTAGCCAGCGAACAGCAGGTGCGGGATGCCGGACGCGGGCCCCTCGGAGTGCATGCTCACGCCACTGAAGCCCGCAAAGGTGGCCGGGTTCCCGAACATCTCCAGGGTCTCCCCGAAACACATGGAGTAGAGGAACAGGAACCAAAGCACAGTCACCAGGCCCATTGTCGCGAAATTCTGCATCATGATGGTGATCACGCTGCTCTCGCGCACCAGGCCTCCGTAGAAGAGGGCCAGGCCTGGCGTCATGAACTGGACCAGCGCCATGCTGACGAGGATGTAGCCCGTGCTCGCGCCATCCATCGACATCGTGTTAGTAGTCGCTGTCACGGCAGCAACCAAAAGCAGATGCCCGCGCAAAGGAAACGGCCTGATCCGGGCAGGCTTGAGCCAAAATGGCTACGGATCTGCTCGGATCCCATCTTGGAGTGATCCAGGCAGGCTTAAGCCAAAATGGCTACGGATCTGCTCGGATCCCATCTTGGAGGCCCAGACTCGTGGAGGCCGCTCCCCGGCCCAGTAGCACTCAAGAGACGGCTCCTGGGTGAAGCAGCAGGAGGAGAGGAGGAGGAGGAGAGGAGGAGGAGGAGGAGCAGGAGGAGAGGAGGAGAGGAGGAGGAGGAGGAGGAGGAGGAGGACGAGGAGAGAAAGGAGGAGTGGAGCAAGGAGGAGGAGAGAATGGAGGAGGATGAGGAGGAGAGGAGGAGGAGGAGGAGGAGGAGGAGGAGGAGGAGGAGGAGCAGGGGCAGGGGCCCAGGGGCCCAGAGCAGACTGCGGCGTCGGAGGGAGAGGCCCCCCCGCCCGGCCTCCCCCGAGATCCGGGCGCTCACGTGCTCCACCAGCGGGCGCTTTGGCCAAGCTCCGGGCCCCGGGGCCCCCACAGATCGACCCGGCTCGAGGGGTGCCGCAGAACGATCGGGGGTGGACAGGCCCCCCTTTAGCAAAACGTGGTTTAGTGAAAACGACCTGAGGCCCAAACCTGGCGGGCGCAAGCCTGGACAATAACGGCCACGGCGCCCTCTCGAGAACCGAAAACGGACAATTCACTAATCGACGTGGCACTGTTGGGGGTTCTGTCCACCCCCGAAACGATTGGGTGACGTCGGATCTCAGGGGACGGCTGCGGTGGCGGCGGCCAGGACGGCGACCGTCGGACCGAGGGCTGGTGACGGTGGCAACGGCGGCGGAGCGCGACGGGGAAGGCGACGGGCGGCAGGCGGAGGCAGGCAGAGGAAGAGAAGAGGGAGGAGGGGGGAGGACAGGAGTGAGGGAGGAGGAGGGAGGAGGGGGGAGGGCAGGAGGGAGGAGGAAGGAGAGGGAGGAGGAGGGAGGAGGGGGGAGGAAGAGAAGAGGGAGGAGGAGGGAGGAGGGGGGAGGAAGAGAAGAGGGAGGAGGGGGGAGGACAGGAGTGGGAGTGAGAGGGAGACGCACGGCGCTTGCGCGGCTGACAGGAGAACTTGTCGGTCCACCCCGTGCGGACAGGCTGGATGGAGTCGGAACGCCGGTCTACAGCGGCGTGGCGTCGGCAGCTTCACACTCCAGATGCCGGCACCAGTCGATGGTCCTCAGAGCGCGTGGTAGCGCCGACGTGCGCTTGACTGCCGAAGCCCGTCATCACGACGCAGGTGGTGTGAGGAGGGCGGACGCAGACGGCGTGCTGTCGGCGGACCTGGGCGACGGGATAGGCACTGGGCCAGCACACGTCCTGAGGATCATCGAGCCAGGCCTGCGTGGCGGATTCCAAGCGAGGACCACACAGCACAGGAGGGCTGGGAGACGATCATGACCGGCGTCGGGGGTCCGGGTTCCGCCTAACGGCTCTCCGTCCATCCTTCCTCCGTCTGCTCCCCTTGCTCCTTTTACGCTACTCCTTCCTGGCACCTCTGCCCTCCCCCGCCGATGCCACAGAAGGCTCCGCGGAGGCTTCCAGAAGCCACAGCATACGCACATGTGTATACCTATACGACCACCCTTCGGGTGCTGAGGAGGTTGTGAGGGGGGGGGAGGGGGGGGGAACCAACATCTGATTCAATCGATCTCAATATCGATCTCACATGATCTCACACCACGGGACACCACGGGACACAAAGGGACATTTGTCGACCTCACTATCGATCTCACTCAACGGGACACCACGAGACACCACGGGCCACCACGGGACACCGCGGGACACCTCTCGATCTCACTATCGGTCTCACTATCGATCTCACTATCGATCTCACGATCGATCTCACTATCGATCTCACCCAACGGAACATCATAGAACACCCCGGGACACCAAGGGGCACCAAGGGATACCACATCGATCTCACTATCGGTCTGAGTATCGATCTCACTATCGATCTCACTATCGATCTCACTCAACGGGACACCACGGGACACCACGGGACACCACGGGACACCACGGGACACCTGTCGATCTCACTATCGATCTCACTTTTTGGGCCACCACGGGACACCACGGGACACCTTGGGGCACCACATCGATCTCAATATCGATCTCAGTATCGATCTCACTATCGATCTCACTATCGATCTCACTCAACGGGACACCACGGGACACCACGGGACACCACGGGACACCGCGAGCCACCGCCGGACGGACGGACGGACGGGCGGAGAATCAGTTGTCTTCACTTCACCCTAGCAACGGCGGACACCACGGGACACCACGGGACACCGCGGCACACCGCGAGCCACCGCCGGAATGGCGGGCGGGGCAGAATCGTGTAGCTTGACTTCGCCGTAGCAACGGCGGACACCACGGGACACCACGGGACACCGAGAGGCACCGCGCGCCAGCGCGACCGGACTGACGGGCGGGCGGGCGGGGGAGAATCATTTGTCTCGACTTCGCCCTAGCAACGGCGGACTCCACGGGACACCGCGGGACACCACGGGACACCGCGCCAGCGCGACCGGACTGACGGGCGGGCGGGCGGGGGAGAATCATTTGTCTTGACTTCGCCCTAGCAACGGCGGGTTTATTCCTCTCGCGCGCCCACGCAGCTTCGCCCCGCCCGCACGCACGACACGAACGAAAAGACACGATTTCCTGGTTGGGGGTCTCCTTTCCACTGCGATCTCACCCCCCAGCACCTGACATGTAGATCATGTCTGTGAATATATACACAAAAATCCGAATGACGGAGCTGAACGGTCATTTACTGCCGTTGGGTGTGTGTGTGTGTCTGAGAAAAGGGTTCGCGGTGACTTCTTATTTGTTGTTGTTGATATTGTTGCTGCTGCTGTTTTTGTTGTCATCGTCCCATTCGCGACCAGGCCCGCGACCCACCCTCGATCCGCCCACGATCCAGCAAAAACCCTCCTGCGACCCACCCGCGACCCACCAGCGACCCACCCGCGACCTACCCGCGACCCACCCGCAACCAACACCGCGACCCACCCGCGACCCACCCGCGACCCACCCCCTGCCCGCCCCCTTACTCTTATTCGCAACTGCGGGGTGAGATATATAATCATACATATATGTATATATAGATACATACATATAGATATGTGTATTATATATATCAGAGGTTGGGGGTGAGATCGCAGTGGAACGGAGATACCAACCGGGAAATCGTTTCGTTTCGTTCGTGTCGTGCGTGCGGGCGAGGCGAAGCTGCGTGGGTGCGCGAGAGGAATGAATCCGCCGCTGCTAGGGCGAAGTCAAAACAAATGATTCTCCCCCGTCCGTCCGTCTGGCGGTGGTGGCCCTAGCGGTGTCCCGTGGTGTCCCGTGGTGTCCACCGTTGCTAGGGCGAAGTCAACGTCCGGCGATGGCTCGCGGTGTCCCGCGGTGTCCCGTGGTGTCCAGTGGTGTCCGCCGTTGCCAGGGCGAAGTCAAGACAAATGATTCCCCCCGTCCGTCCGACCGTCCGGCGGTGGCTCGCGGTGTCCCGCGGTGTCCCGAGGTGTCCCGTGGTGTCCGCCGTTGCTGGACGAAGTCAAGACAAATGATTCTTAGGCTTACGCCACACCGCCGACCCCTTGTTTATGCCAATCTGGGGGTAGTAGAAGCTGCGAAGGGGTGAAAAGGCGAGTGATATTTGTTTGGTGTCTGTTCGCCGCCACCGCCAGAGGGTCTCGGGCAGTTCCGCGGGGAGGTCCGATCGGACAGCGACACTGCGAGTTTTGGAGCCACTCGGGGGCCGTTTCGGAGCCTCTGGGGTGCTTCTTGGGGGTTCCTTGGGGCGTCTGGGCGGCCTCGTGAGGGCCTCTGGGGGCCTCTTGGGGCACTCTTGGGGCCCCCTGGGGCTCCTGGGGGCAGAAAGCTAGAGTTTCAACATGTTTGGTCGCCCTCTTGGGCCCCTCGTGGTGCCGTCTTGGAGCCCTCTTGGGCCGTCTTGGGGACCTCTTGGGCCGTGTTGGGGCCGTCTTGGGCCGTCTGGAGGCCGTCTTGGGGGCCTCTTGGGCCATCTTGGGGCTATCTTTGGGGCCTGTCGCATCTGGAAGAAGCCGGAAAGGCGGAAAAGCCAAAAACGTCGAAGAACACTATGGAAAATCAACAATTTTAGACTCTTGGGGCCCTCTTGGGAGGCTTGTTTGGGACCTCGGGGGCCGTCTTGGAGACCTCTTGGCCCGTCTTGGGGCCATCTTGGGCGTCTTGGAGGGGTCGTTTGGCGTCTCGGAGCCTTCGTGGGCCGTCTTGGAGGCCTCTTGGAGCCTTCTTGGCCCGTCTTGAGGCCCTCTTGGGCCCGGAAAAGCCCTGGAACCGCTCGTCCCGGCCGTGCTGCGCTCGTCCTGGCCCCCTCCCCGCCTCCAAATCGGCCCTCTTGGGCCGTCTTGGGCCGTCTTGGGGCCGTCCTGGGCCGTCTGGAGGCCGTCTTGGGGGCCTCTTGGGCCATCTTGGGGCTATCTTTGGGGCCTCGTCGCGCGTCTTGGAGCGTTGGGAAGCCGGAAAGGCGGAAAAGCAAAAAACGTCGAAGAACACTATGGAAAATCAACAATTTTAGACTCTTGGGGCCTTCTTGGGAGACTTGTATGGGACCTCGGGGGCCGCCTTGGAGACCTCTTGGCCCGTCTTGGGGCCATCTTGGGCGTCTTGGAGGGGTCGTTTGGCGTCTCGGAGCCTTCGTGGGCCGTCTTGGAGGCCTCTTGGGGGCTTCTTGGCCCGTCTTGAGGCCCTCTTGGGCCCGGAAAAGCCCTGGAACCGCTCGTCCCGGCCGTGCTGCGCTCGTCCCGGCCCCCTCCCCCCCTCCAAATCGGCCCTCTTGGGCCGTCTTGGGGACCTCTTGGGCCGTCTTGGGGCCGTCTTGGGCCGTCTGGAGGCCGTCTTGGGGGCCTCTTGGGCCATCTCGGGGCTATCTTTGGGGCCTCTTTGCCCGTCTTGGAGCGTCGGGAAGCCGGAAAGGCGGAAAAGCAAAAAACATCGAAAAACACTCTGGAAAATCAGCAATTTTTGACTCTTTGGGCCCTCTTGGGAGGCTCATTTGGGACCTCAGGGGCCGTCTTGGAGACCTCTTGGCCCGTCTTGGGGCCATCGTGGGCGTCTTGGAGCGGTCGTTTGGCTTCTCGGAGCCTTCGTGGGCCGTCTTGGAGGCCTCTTGGGGGCTTCGTGGCCCGTCTTGAAGCCCTCTTGGGCCAGGAAAAGCCCCGTGGAGCGCTCGTCCCGGACCCCCCCCCCCCTCCAAATCGACCGGACCGGGCTCCCGGGGGAGGGGTTTGGGGAGGGGGAAGCATCTCACACGCCGATGATCCCCAAGGGGTCGGCGGACTCTCCCCCCTCCGTCCGTCCAGCGGTGGCTCGCGGTGTCCAGCGGTGTCCCGTGGTGTCCCGTGGTGTCCCGTGAAGTGAGATCGATAGTGAGATCGATAGTGAGATCGACGTGGTGCCCCGAGGTGTCCCGCGGTGTCCCGTGGTCTCAAAAAAGCGAGATTGATTTTGAGATCGACAGGTCTCCCGTGGTGTCCCGTGGTATCCAGTTGAGTGAAAACGATGGTGAGATCGATAATGAGATCGATACCGAGATGTGTCCCGTGGTGTCCGCAAAAATGAGGTCGCTAGTGAGATCGACAATGAGATCGACAGATGTTCCGTGGTGTCCCGATGAGTGAAATCGATAATGAGATCGATAATGAGATCGATGTGGTGTCCCGTGGTGTCCTATGATGTCCCGTTGGGTGAAGTCAATAGTGAGATCGATAGTGAGATCGAGAAGTGTCCCGCGGTGTCCCGTTGTGTCCCGCGGTGTCCCGTGTTGTCCCGTGGTGTCCCGTTGAGTGAGATCGATAATGAGATCGATAGTGAGATCGACAAATGTCCCGCGGTGTCTCGTGGCGTCCCGCAGTGTCCCGTGGTGTCCCGTTGAGTGAGATCGATAGTGAGATCGATAATGAGATCGACAAGTGTCCCGTGGTGTCCCGTGGTGTCCCGTTGAGAGAGATCGATAGTGAGATCGATTGAGTGAGATGTTGGCTCCCCCCCCTCCCCCCCCCACAACCTCCTTATCACCCGAAGGGTGGTCGCATAGGTATATATTTCGGAGGTTGGGGGTCAGCTCGCAATGGAACGGAGACGCCCAACCGGGAAATCGTTTCGTTTCGTTCGTGTCGTGCTTGCGGGCGAGGCGAAACTGCGTGGGCGCGCGAGAGGAATGAACCCGCCGCTACCAGGGCGAAGTCAAAACAAATGATTATCCTCCCTCCGCCCGTCCGTCGGGCGGTGGCTCGCGGTGCCCCGCGGTGTCCCGAGGTGTCCCGTGGTGTCCCGTGGTGTCCGCAGCTGCTAAGGCGAAGTCAAGACAAATGACTCTCCCCCGCCCGCCCGTCCGTCCGTCCGTCCGTCCGGCGGTGGCTCGCGGTGTCCCGCGGTGTCCCGTGGTGTCCCGTGGTGTCCCGTTGAGTGACATCGATAGTATCGATAGTAAAATCGATACCGAGATCGATAGTGAGATTGATAGTGAGATCGATAATGAGATCGATACTGAGGTCGATGTGCTGCCCCGAGGTCCCGAGGTGTCCCTCGGAGTCCCGTGGTGTCCCCAAAAGTGCGATCGCTAATGAGATCGAGAAGGATATCGACGGGTGTCCCGTGGTGTCCCGTAATGTCCAGTTGAGTGAGATCGATAGTGAGATCGATGATGATATGGATACTGAGATCGATGTTGTGCCCCGAGGTGTCCCGTGGTGTCCCAAAACATGAGATCGATAGTGAGATCGATAGTGCGATCGACAGGTGTCCCGTGGTGTCCCATGGCGTCCCGTTGAGTGAGATCGATAGTGAGATCGGTAGTGAGATCGATACTGAGATCGATGCGGTGCCCCAAGGTGTCCCTTGGTGTCCCGTTGAGTGAGATCGATAGTGAGATCGATAGTGGGACCGATCGTGAGATCGAGAGGTGTCCCGCGGTGTCCCGTGGTGTCCCGTGGTGTCTCGCTGAAAGAGATCGATAGTGGGATCGACAAGTGTCCCGTGGTACTCCGTGGTGTCCCGTTGTGTCCCGTTGAATGAAAACGATAGTGAGACCGATTGAGTCAGATGTTGGTTCCCCCCCTCTCCCCCCTCCACCACCACAACCTCCTAATCCCCCCAAGCGTGGTCGTATAGGTGTGTACATATATGCAATTACATAAGTGTACAACAACGTCGAACCTGGATACCCAGTCCTCCAACCTCCTCATCCTTCTTCTCCATTTGTCTCCTCCTCCTCTCCTCCTTGCTAGCCATCCCTCTTCCTCATCCTGCTCCTGATCATCATTCCTTCCCCCTTCCTTTCTCCTCCTCCCTCCCCACCTCCCCTCCCCGTTACCGCTCCTTTCCCTCCAGGGAATGCGACGATGCGAGTGTTTCAGGCCGCCGCCACAGGTCTCCCGCGACGGGCTCCCCTGGGGGTCGCTTCTCGCATCGCGTCTCCCTTCTTGGGGGCCCCGGAGGCCCAGAACGGCCCCGCCAGAAAAGCAGGCCTGAAGGGAGCGGCGCCGCGATGGCACAACACCAACCAGCTGGAGGTGTGGTTCCGGGTCCGCTCCTTTCTGGCCCGCCCTCCCTTCCCCTGACCTCCCAGGGCTCAAAACAAAAACAACATCCAGACTTGACAAGAGGTCAAGAGCGTTCCACTCGTTGACCATCATCATTCAGCTTCGAAGGGCCTGATGCGAAGTATGGTTTTGCCCTGCTGGGAGGTCAGGGTCCACTCCCGGCCGCACCCCGACTGTCCTCCAGATCTCGGGCGGCGACACGAACTCGCGGCCAGCGGACGCGTTCCCCACCGTGGTCGCGAAGCCGAGCAGCACCTCGAGGGCGGCGGCGGCGGCGACGACGACGTCGACGACGGCGGCGACGCCCTCTCCGTTTCGGACACGGTGCGCAATTATGCACACCGTGGTTGGCCGCGTCGGCAGCTCCTAGAGCCTGCTCCCGGCAGCCGCACGTCCGCTGCCCTTCTGCTGGAACTGCGCCGTCTAGGCTAGGCCTCCAGCATGCCGCCCTGCTCTCCCAGGGCCGAGTCTGCGGCTGTGGCCTCGGCGCACTCGTGGCCACGCTGATGGACCTGAGCCTCCACCTCAGCATGCAACCGCGCCCCCAGCTGCCACAACAACACGAACTCCGAGATCTCACGCCTCAGCTCGGCTGCGCCGCCTCCGCAGCAGGGGGAACGCTGCGCAGTGCCCGCCCGTGCACTCGTTCAGCTCGGCGTGCAGCTCCAGCATGTGGCTCTTCAAGTGCCCTGTGGCTGCCGCGGCTGCAGCGGCGCCGGCATCCTCCTGCTAGGTCTCCTCCGCGCTCAGCTGGGCGCGAGATCCCGAGAGACCTGATGAGTCCAGCGCTCCGTCCCCTCAACCGCCTGGCCATTGTCCACCTTGGGGGTGCCGGCTTGGAACAAAAACTCGTCTCCACGGCTACCGCGGCGCTGGCCACCTCCTCGGCCGCCAGCTCGGCATGGCCTCCACATGGCCGCTCGACTGCACCGTGTCTGCCCGGTGCTCGCGCCCCTCCGACGGTCGTCCAGCGAAGGGTGCCCCGTGCGTCGTCGACCAAGGGGAGGCCCGCGCGGGTGCTGCCCTCGAGAGGCAGCGGTCAGGCAGCGCCTTCGCACCGCCACGGCACTCCGTGCCGACGCGCTGCGTGCCCGGCTCGCTCCTCGTGGGCGCCTCCGTGGTGACCGCACCGCTGCCATCGGACCTGGCGCCAGCATGTAAGCCCAAGGCCGCGAACACATCGTCCAGCAACCCATGGTCGGCCCCAAGGCGCATCTCCGCCAGCCTCCGCGCGCGAGCACGACCGATCGCAACCACATCAGACCGATCGTCGACCACTTCGGACCGATCGCAATCAGTTGCCATCGGTCCGAAGAGCTTGCGAAGTTTGGGGGGGCGCTTCAAGAAGCTTCCGATTAAGGGAGAGATCATACAGCGTTTCTTGATGCAGTGGGCTACCTTAAGCTTCTCGATGGAAATCTGAAAAATCGGTTGCGATCCGTCCGATCGCCGATCCGTCACCATCATCACCATCATCACCATCATCATCATCATCATCATCATCATCATCATCATCAGCATCATCATCAGCATCATCATCAACAGCATCGGCATCAGCAACATCTGCATCTACAGCACCCTCATCATCATCATCATCATCATCATCATCATCATCATCAGCATCAGCATCATCATCATCATCATCATCATCATCATCATCATCACCATCACCGTCATCGTCATCGTCATCATCATCATCGTCATCATCATCATCGCCATCATCCTGATCATCTTCATCATCACCAACAGCATCATCATCAGCATCATCAAAATCAGCATCAGTATCCTCACCTTCACCACCACCACCATCGCCACCACCACCAACACCATATATAATCACCATTTTCGCCAGCGTCTTCCCAATGCTCTATTCGCCCTCTGCTTCTCCTCCTCCTCTTCCTCCTCCTCCTCATCATTGCCCCTCACCTTCCTCCAACCATCCTGAAACTCCTCCCCGTCCTCCTCTTCACCTCCTCCTCCTCCTCCTCCTCCTCCTCCTCCTCCTCCTCCTCCTCCTCCTCCTCCTCCTCTCCCTTCTGAATCATTATCCCCATCCTTCCCTCATGCCCCGCTTCGCCCTCCTTACCCCCATCGTCATCAACACCATCCGTCGCACAAGCATCACAATTCTCATCATCATCATCATCATCATCATCATCATCATCATCATCATCATCATCATCATCACCTTCATCATCATCATCATCATCATCATCATCACCATAATCATCAGCAGCAGCATCAGCATCAGCGTCAGAAGAAACACCACCATCACCATCGTCATCATCGTCATCATCACCATCAACGTCATCATCAACGACCTCATCGCCAGCATCATCATCATCATACTCGGCATCACTACCATCGTCGCCATCATCGACATCATTATCACCACTCACCCTGATCACGACCATCATCATCGTCATCACCAACATGATCACCATTCGCATCATCCGCATAATCATCATCATCACCACCATCGCCATCACCATCACCATCAACACCATCACCATCACCAGCATATGCATCAACAACATCATCATTATCGCCGTCACCCGCATCACCATCATCACCGTCACCAGCATCATCAGCATCATTATCACCAACACCATTCTCAGCAGCATCATGATTTTCATCATAGTGTCCTCGTCCTTCCCCCTCCTCCTCCTCCTCCGCCAAATTGTCCTACTCCCCCTACTCCTCCTCCTCGTCCTCATCCGTGTCCTCCTCCTTCTCCTCCTCCTCCTCCTCCAACTCCTGCCCCTCCCTCATTTCCCGAGCGTCCCCTTCCCACCAGGCGGCGTCGCTCGCGCGAGAGAGCAAAATGACGAGGGACCACTGAGCGCGGACAGCTGACGACTGACAGCGCGACCACGGCGGGCAGCGCATGAGGACTGAGGAACGCAAGAGCCTTTCAAGGACCCTCGAGAATCCCTCAGGTATCTCTCAGGAACCCTGAGGGATATGCCTGAGTCCTTCAGAGACTCTCATGTATCCTTCCAGAGTTCATCGGGAATCCCTCCGGAGACCCTCAATCATACTTCAGGGATCCATACAGACTCCCCCAACAATCGGTTGATAATTCCCAAGGAATTCTCAATCATCCTGCTGGGGTCATCAGGAATCTGCCAGAATCCTGGGGGAATCCGCAATCACCCTTAAGAGCCCGCAAGAATCTGTCAAGAATCAGCAACAACCTTTCCAGGGATCCGCAGGAATCCTTCGGGAATCCTCAAGCATCATCCACGAATTGCCCGCGATCCGTATCCGACCTTCTGGCATCCTCCTGGACTCCTCACTCGGGAAGCCGCGAGAGTCCCTCAGGAATCCGCCCAGTTCAGGTGCCCGCAAGAGTCCCTCAGGATTCGCCCCAGAACCCCATGGGAATCCTCCCTGAAAGCCTTTGGAATCGTTCAAGAATCTGACGGGGATCCGCCAAGAACCCCTGAAGAATCCATCAAGAATCCATCAAAAACCCGATCGGCATCCCTCGGGAATCCTCAAGGACCCTGAAGAAATCCTCAAGAATTCTTCAGGAAACCTTAAGAAGCCTTCAGGATTCCTCAAAAATCCTTCAGGGATCTGCAAGAAACCTTCCGAAATCCTCATTGTTGTTCAGGAGTGCTCCAAAATCTCTTAAGAATCCTCACAAAAAAAAGCCTTCCGGAAACCTCAGGAATCGTGCGAGAATCCTTGAGAATCGTAAGCGAATCCTCAGGAATCTTCCAGGGAGCCTCAAGAATTTTTCAGGAACCCTTGAAGCATCCTGAGGAATCCTGACGGATTCCGGGAAAAATCCTCAACTGTCACTTTGGAATCCCAACGAATCCTTCGGGATCCACCAGGAATCCTTCCAGAATCGTCGGGTCCTCCAGGATCCGCAAGACGCCCTTTGTAATCCTCCAGAGTCGCTCAGGAGTCCGCCAAGGGCTGGGAAGCTGAAGAAAGCTTCCCGGGTTGTACTCCGGCGTTCGCCTTATATGTTTCCGATGGGAATGTTTCACGTTGCGATCAGTCCGTTTCCAATAAATGTTTTCGGTCCGAAATGGCTCGTAAACGGTCGGATGCGGCGGTTGGCGCAGCCCCGAGCGCAAGGAACATCGCGTCTGCCGCGACGAGGTGTTCGGGCGCCTGCTTGACCGAATGATGCCATCGGCAGAGGTTGCCGGGTTTCTGCCCCCCGACAGCTTCTCCCCCGCGGAGGGTCGGGCCCCAAGGGGGAAACAACAGAACCATGTCAGCTGCGACGAACAGAACGATCCTTTCCAGCGCAGCTGAAATCCACCTCGGCGCGCCCACGGCGCCGCCGCCCCCCCCGGCGCCGGGGGCGGGCGCGGAGAAGTGCGCGGGGGCGGGCGGCGGCCGCGCGTCGTTAACCCGCGGCAGGCCAACGTCTGGGATACCAGCCCGCTCGCCACGGACAGCCCCCCGCCCCAGACAGCGCCGCGCCCGCCCCTCAGCCAGGGGCCCCGACGGGCGCCCGAGGGCCCCGGGGGAAAGTCCACCCGCAGGGGGCACGGGGCCCGAAGGGCCAGGGCAACGACGCGGCACGGCGCGGCGATGTAGGAGCACAGCGTCGTCTTCAAGAACGAGCGAGAGTTTGCGTCGAAGACGTTCGGGGCCGCGGCGGGCGCCGCCCGCGCAACCGCTCGCGCAGGAGGCGGCGGCGCCCCAGTTCAGCAAGTCGCGCTTGGTCCGAGATCAAGCCAGGTTAAAGAACCGCGGCGGCGGAGACGCGCGTCGACGCAGGGCGACACCACGAAGCGCGGCAGATGCCCTCTGCGCATCGCTGGCGGAGCACCGCGCGCGCGTCGTTGTCCGCGCTGTCGAACAGATAATCAAAGTCGCGCGAGTTGACCTGAAAGAGCGTCGAAGAGGAACGCGCGCTCAGACGGGGTCGATGGCAACTGCCGCGGCTGCAGCGAGGACGAGGCGCCATTCGCGCCACTGATGCGGCGTCGGCCGAGATGGCGTCGCCCAGCCCTTCAAGCGCGGAGAGATTGGCGGAAGACGAGGAGCTCGCCGGCGACCAGCTCGGCGCAGGCGAAGATGCGCGACTGGCCGTCGAAGTAGGACTCCCTGACGAAGCACGCGACATCGGCGGAGTCACAGGGGCCACTGCGTCTGCGTCGGCGCGGTCGCGATGGAGTCGCAATTCGGGAAAGGGAAGGCGACGCCCCAAGACCTTGAGTTCCGCTGCCATGGTGGAGGGCGGCGCAGCGGCACGGCGCGCTGTTGATGAGACGAAGGAGGCGACGCGCAGTGCCAAGGGCCCCCGGCACCGCCACGGCACATTCCCGGCGCAGGCGCGGCACGAGTAGACCGCGGGTATTCCGTGACACGAGCTCACGCCCGAGAGAGGAAGAGCACGCTCGCTGAACGTTACCCCCGCAATATGCCTAGATTCTCTGCGGAGAATTCGTGGAAGCGCTTGTCGACCGCTTCGCAATCAGTGGCCGTAGACGCAGCGATGGGGTCGACTCCAATCGATTTGGGAGAGCGGTGGCGGCGGTGCCGATCTCGAGCTCGATACATAATGGGGAAGCCTTCGAGAGTGATCAGCGCTTCTTTAAGGGTGGCACGAGTGGTCTGAACATTCTGCCAACAAATCCTCCGGGTCCTTCGCGTTTGGATGTCCCTGTGCACCTAGCGAGCACTGCGATCTGGGCTGACGAAGAGGGGGGCTGGCTGGCCACAAATTCCGCTGGTGAGGAGGACCGCCAGGCGCCACCAGGAAGCCTGAGCCCACAAGGGAGGCGGCACGAGGTATAACAAAGGGTCGATCACCCAACAGACGGATAATGAAACCCTGTCGACGGGACATCCCCGATGATCGCGGCGCTGTTCCAGTCGACGCCTGCATCCTGGAACCACTGTTTAAATCCTGCTTGAAAGTGTTGCGGTCGCCATCTGATGACGTTATTGCGCTGCTTCTGGTGATGCAACGCGTCGCGTCGCGTGATTTCCGCCACTTCACCCTCGGTCACCGAGATGCACTTGTTGAAAACCTCCTGGTACTTGTGAATGGTGGTGGCGAAGGTCTGCGCTGTGTTGGCGCGGATATTGTCCATGGCCGAATCGACGTGGTCCGAGAGCTGCTCCGAGAGGGAGTCCGTGATGGCTTCGGTGCTGCCAGGCTCATGTAAAGGACCTTGACGTCGGGCAGGGCAAAAGGCTGCCTCTGCAACCGAGAAGACAGCGGCACCAACAAGTGCGGCGGCAACGCCTGCAAATTGCCACGGGTCAGCACGCTGTAACGGGTCAGGCTGCGCAACGCGACCAGGTTCGACACAAGGTTCCCGCGCTCGGTATCCACCGCCTAGTGTGCCCAGCAGCAGGCGCAGGTAGGGGCGCAGAGGCTCTTGCACGGGTTTGCGCAGGACGCGGAAGAGGGAGCCCGCCACCAGCGCGTCCTGAGCCACAGGCTCCACCTGCGACAGCACCACGATCTTCAGCGCGGCGTCCACGGTCGCTCTATGTATGCCGACGGCATTTTCCATCAGCACGACGATCATAGTCTTGGGGCTGACGGCGTACGGGACGGTCACCTCCGCTGCGCGAAACATTTCGTTCGACGCTCGAGTCCGAGCCATCATCCATGCCGTCGTCGGTGAGTTGGTGCCGAGATGCCGCCTCGAGTGTGCGCCATGGTGTCCACTGTGTTGCGCGGTCCGCCTTCTCGGGGCAAGGCAAAGCAAACGGCACGGGCGGGTCGAACACGAAACTGACGCTATGGAAACCGAGGCCGTGGACCTGGTTCTTCGGCGGGAGGGGCTCGATCTTCGACAAGGAGATGAAGAGCGCAAGCGCGAAGGGCGGGTGCCAGCTTAGTCCTAAGTGGTGCTGGGAACGTCTGTGTACTGTCCGCGACCTAACGGTATCAATACTTATGGTCTCCCGCAGGCAGAATGCAGAATCATCTTGAGCCAAAATGGCTGCGAGGAGGGAGGATGAGGAGGAAGAGGAGAGGAGGAGGAAACGGATGAGGAGGATGAGGAGGAAAACGAGCAGGAGGAGGAGGAGGAGACAATCGAATGTCAGGGATCGAGGCGTTGGGAAGAGTCTGGCCTCGTTTGGGCCTCGGGAGGTCACTGGACCCCCGCGGAGCCCCCCAAAGACCTCCGGAGAGGAAAAAGGGCGGAGTGAGCAGAGCGGACGAGCAGGCAGAGCGGAGGCAGGAGAGCGGAGGAGAGGGAAAAAGGGAGGAAGTGGAGGGGAGGAGAAGGGCACCCCAACGAGGAACAGGGCGTCGAACAGCAGCTCGACGGTGATCGCGACCGGGTGGCCAACGACGTCCTCGTACCTGCAAGCATGGAGGGTGCAACCAAAGCCTCTGAGCTGAGATGGAACGCCGCGTCTCTGCGACACGGCGGCCGCAAGACTGGCACAGCGGCCAAGACGGCGCCAGTCTTGGCCGCCCCGGACATAGGTACAAATCGTGACTGCCAACTGTTCCTCAGCTTCGGAAGAAACCCTCAGGCCAACAAGATTATACCTCTTGGGAGACCGACTTCTTGCTTCTGCCGGCTTCGGCTGGCCTTCCGCTTGCAGTCCTGCCACCGTTTCACTCCCAGCGGCTTCCGCCGGCCTTCCGCCAGCAGGAAAGGTCAACTCCTCGACGCCCTTTCCTCGCCATCGCTCGGACGTCCATTCCCCGTGGATTTGTCGGTTTCGTGCGTGTTTTTTCGCAAGATGGTGCACGGTGCTCCTCGACGGTTTTCGCCAAGGAAAGATGCACACGTCCGAGCGATGCTAAGCTTTCTAGAGCTCGCCGGATGTGCGTTTCGGCCATTGGGGCCGCACCAAGACCTTGGATGAAAAGACGGCCCTGGGCTCTACGGTTCAGGGCCCCGAGGGGCTGTCACGACGAAGCCGTGACCGGCGGAGGTCAAGGACCGGAGAGGCCTGACAGCTCAAGGAAGAGGGAGGCGGAACGTGGCCGAAGGGAAGCTCGCGTCCTGCCTACTCTCAACGGGCCTAAACGACGACCTGGTTGAGGAAGAGGGGGAGGATGGAGGAGCAGATAACGGTGACCAAGACCAAGACTGAACGCAGAAACGTCGGTGCCGATCTTGGTAAACCTCCATCTTGGTCGCCGTCAATCCGTCCGTGGATCATCCTCGCGAATCGGTGACGGTCGGCATGCACCATGACCAAGATTGGCGTCGACAAGATTGGTGTATCCTTCCCTCGGGAGGAAGAGGAGGAGAAGAGGAGGAGGAGGAGGAAGAGGAGGAGGGGAGGAGAAGAAGGGGGCGCGCAGGAGCACTCGCAACCGCGCTCCGCGGAGTGCGCCCCCCCTCGCGAGCGCCACGCCCCAGGATGCGAGGCGAGAGGGAGCAGGGGAGCGAGGAGCAGCGGGGGAGCCTCCGAGGCCGCCCCCAAAGGGAGGCGCCCTGGGACACACAAACAAATACACACAAATAAAAAAGATCCCCCCTATATTTTCCCATATTTTCTGGGCTTTTGTCTTCCCCCCCACTTCCCATATTTTCCCACATTTTCTTGGGAATCCACGATTCATTGTGTCTGTGTGTTTCTTTCCCCCCTGACCAAAGGGAGGCGCCCAAGAGTGGGGCTCGCAAGCCATGGCCCAGGAGACATCGTGCGGGGAGAAGGCAGGGGACCAGGAGACGCGCCGAAAGAAGAAGAAGAAGAAGAAGGGGCCATGAAATCCGGGGAGAGCGATCGTGGCCCCAGCCACGACATCGACCTCCCCCTCGTCATCACAGCCCCCTCTTTCCCTCCCCCCACTCTTCCGGACCTTCCACCCCAACCTTCCGCCCCTTTTTCGATGTGATCTATGTATGTGGGCTTCCTCGAATGACGCAAGGCCCCATGAACTTCGATGCATTCTTCCGCACCTTCCGCGGAGGTCGGAAGGCCTGGATGGCGAAAGTGGAGGGCCGACGCCCCCGAAAGCGGGGAGGAGGGAAGCAGGAGGCGAGAAGCAGGGCCGCGACGGCTTCCCGGAGGAGGCGGGCCCGGGGCACCTCGCCTTCGGGGCGTCCCCCCCCCCCCCCGCCTCCGCGCCCCGAGCCGTGCTATCCGTGCTCCACACCGGCGGGGGGGGGGGAGGCCCAGAGTTACGTCAGGCATGCCCCCTACAGGTGGGTTTTGGAGGAAAACTGAAAAGGGTAGAGAAAAAGAGCTCACAAGTAATCGTCCCCTGACTATGTCTTAACTGCTTTTGAACATTCCTCCTGTAGAGGGACCCAGGGGCAGGCCCGCCTGGAGCCCAGAGGGAGGGCCCCGAAGGCGGCGCGGCGATCCTCCCTCCCCTGTCCCCGCCCTCCCAGACATCCATCCGACTCCTTGATTGCTCCATCGCGGGATCCCCGGGAGCCCCGACCCTCTCCCGGGGGCCTCTTCTCTCCCTCGTGCGAGGTGTCCTGTGGACGGCCCCCGGGGCCCGGAGAGGGCCCCCCAGGCGAGCAGCCGCCCGTCTTGCCATGCCCTCGCCCTGCGTGGGACGTCGGGGCCCCGCCCCTCCGGCGCCTGCCCCGGAACGCGAGGGCCACGGGCGTGTAGGCGAGCGTCCACAGGGCCACCAGGATGCGGAGGCGGTCCCACCAGACGGCGAAGGGCGAGAGGAAGCCGATCATGGGCAGCGAGGCAGACGGCTCGCCCTCCTGGCGGGAGCGGGGGGGGGCTTCCCAGGGGAGCGGCCGGCTCCTGCAGGGGGCATTCTGGTCAAGGCCTCCTTCCGTTGCGACGAGGAGCGCGGCCCTGAGATCCGACGCCTCGGAAACATTGCAGCATCGCTGGGCCCTTTTTTGGGGTCGACCAGAACATTCCTGAACACTTTTTGCGTCGGCGGCTAGGCAAGGTCACTGTGCTGGCGGAAGGTTACCTACTAAACGGGGGTACCGTTGCACCGAATTGTGCCACCGAGCAGAGGGGGGGGATGGGGGGACAAAAGCAAAGGAAGCGACCGAAAGAGGGGGCGGAAGGAGCGAGCTGCTCAGGGGGACAGGTCACGCCCCGAGCGTGTGGCGCGGCTGGCCCCGCCGGCGGGCCCGCGGCGGCGCGGCTGCTGCACAAGGGGCGGGCGGCGGCGAAGCGCAGTGCGGAACATTCCTGAGCACACGCCCCCACCGAATTCGTGCCGGGTCGACCCCGGCATCGGTCTTCACAGCGGGCGTTTCTTTGTTGTTCCCCAGGTTCTGGGCCCTGGGCCCTCACAAATATCCGCCCCTTTTCGAAAAAGATGCCGCAGGAAGCTGGTGTCCCCTGAAATCCGACCTCCAGAAAGATCAGAGTACCGTGAAAAATGACGACTTGAGCCCTGGAGCCCATCTTTTTTCTGCGCCGTTTCTCGAGCTGGATCGATATGTGAGTCCCGTGGGCCGAAAGCGGACGAACATGTCCGGCTCGAACAAACTGGGTCGCCAAGATCTCAGCGTACGGGCATACTTTGCAGCTGTTCCGCCTCTGGGGGTCCCTCAGCCGGCCGCGGAGCCATCCAGAAACGACTGGGGCGTAAAGGAAAAGGTCCCAGGGAGGAGGTCCACACGTCCGAGGGTGCACGCTGCGATCCAAACGTCGCAGGTCTGGGAAGAGGGGGTCCCTTAGAAGGCCTTTCTGCTCGCCCTCCTTCTGCCTCTCCTCATTCTCTTCCTCCTCCTCTTCGTCCGTCTCCTCCTCTTCCTCCTCATCTTCCTCATCCGCCTGGTCCTCCTCCTTTCTCCTCCCTCCTCCCCCTCCTCCTCGCCGTGCGGGGCTCCTGATCGGCGGGATGCGCGGGAAAGAGTTGTATCCCTATCCACTGCGTCTTGGAGCTTCGGGCTCCCTTCCCCGGGAACCAGAGGCGCAGCGGGCACAAGACGTGCATGAAACTGGGCACATACGATGTGGACGGAGGCCAGGGTGTTACACATACGCACTGCGCCTCGGCCACGTAAGGCCCCTTCCCTGAAAGTCCAAGACGCCATGGATATGGATATCAGAGTGAGGGGGGCCGAACGGTCATTCATTGTCCAAGGGTGCGTGGCTCTAGTGAGGATCCGTGGTGAGGATTATGTTTGTTGCGTGGTTGTTGTTGTTGTTGTTGTTGTTGTTGTTGTTGTCGTCGTTGTCGTTGTCGTTGTCGTTGTCGTTGTTGTTGTTGTTTGTTTGTTTGTTTGTTTGTTGTTGTTGTTGTTGCTGTTGCTATTGTTGTTGTTGCTGTTGTTGTTGTTGGTGTTGTTGTGGTTGTTGTGGTTGTTGTGGTTTGTTGTCGTCGTCCCCCCTGCGACCCACCCCGCGACCCACCCGCGACCCACCCCGCGACCCACCCCGCGACCCAAGCCGCGACCCACCCGCAATCCATACGCGACCCACCCCGGGACCCACCCCGCGACCCACCCTGCGACCCACCCTATGACACACCCCGCGACCCTCCTGCGACCCACCCCGCGACCCACCCCGCGACCCACCCCGCGACCCACCCGCGACCCATAATTACGCGACCCACCCGCGACCCACACGTGACCCGGCCCGCGATTCACCCACGACCCTCCCGCGACCCACCCCGCGACCCACCCCGCGACCCACCCCGCGACCCACCCGCGACCCACCCGCGACCCTCCCGCGACCCACCCGCGACCCACCCCGCGATCCACCCACATGGCTTGAACGGAAAAATCGGCGCCTGCGGCGGGCTTTAAAACATAACTTGCAAGAAGTTCGGCGCCTGCGGCGGGCCTCGTCAGAGCCTCGCAGACTGACGACGTCCTCGCCGCCCCCTCACTCTTACCCGCAACTGACCGCCGCTCCAATGCAGAGCCCTTCGGACGCGAACAAAAGGGACGGAGCCCAAATGATGTGTTGTCTCCAGCGTGCACCCGGTAAAACGCACGCACCGCCTAGATACAGACGCCTCTGCTCTCCCACCGGCACGAAGAAATGTCTTACGCAGTCACTCGTGTAATTAAACGTAAGCCCTCGTCACGTTTGAAATCTCGAGTTCAAAAGTAGCTCGGCATAGGCGTGCACTGCGATGGTCAGTGAGCTGATTGAGAGTCGAAATACGTCATGCAACAACCTCCTGGTGCGCATTTACACCACCAACATGCCGGACTGCTCAAGGCCGCCGAGAATGACACCCACGATGTCTCCCACTGCCTTCCCAGAGCCCTTGAAGTCACCCGCATGCCAATCAGACACGACTGCCTTGCAGTCATCCGTCAGTTCCCGGCGCTCATGATAGATATGCACCACATCCTGCACAATGATTTTAATGATGTCCCCCACGTTGCCACTGAGTATTGCGGCAAGATTCTTGATCTTTGCGGCCAATTCCGCGGCATCCTTCACACAGACGGTGATTGCATTGCCGAAATCCTTGATCATGCCACCGATAAGCTCGAATGCCTTAGCAATAGAAGCAGGTGCCTTGTGATTAAAACCGTGCTCAAAGAAATCGACGATTACTCGGATATCTTGATACGTTTGGTTCACATCCTGTATGCAAGCAGCGAAGCCAATGTCCTTTCCAAGCCCCTCAGCAAAGCCAAGGATGAAATCGCCGATGTTCGAAGTGACGTTCTTTGCAGGCGTAGGTGCTGGCCCTGGCTTGCAGGAGTAGTCAAGAGTAGTGCCACGGCAAGTATATGTGACTTGAGACACGTTTCCAGAGTCGTAGATGACAGTGTCTGAGGCAGTCACCTCTTTGCCTAAGAGGGCCCGAACAACTGGTACAATTGATGCGCCAGTGCTGATACTTCCGAGCGCCGTTGCTTTCATACAGCGTACCTCACCTACATCGTAGTATGGCGATTCAGAAGACGTCTTGCCAGTGTCAGCATCTTTCAAATGCCATTTCAGTGCAAATGCTCCGTCGTTGTAGACGCAGACGTCAGATACTGACTGAGGTGCTTGACCGTTGACAGCGGCGGCAAGCAACACAAGAACACCTCGCATGGCCAATGCTCCTGCGCAAATGACTGGATTCTCCTGGAGGCGCCCCGGAATGGTTCAGCCAACTCCCTTGGGTCTGAACGGCTATGAGAACACCGACTATGAGAACAGGACAGAGAAAGAGAGAGAGAGAGAGACATAGAGACAAACATACTCAACAACAAAAAGATCAAGAGACAGGAGAAATAGAAAAGGAAGAGGGACACAGAGAGGGAGTCAGGTACAACACAAGCAAAGCAAGCAGACAGCTCGCCAGCCCCGTTGGACTGACAGGCGTCCGAGCTCCCCTCCGCTGACCGCTATCCCCGAGAAGCAGGCGAGGCTGGGGGGCAGAAGGAAGGGGGGGCGCCCTCGCGGCTCGGGCGTGCCAGACGGACCCGGGTGGCTTCAGATGCTCTCGGTGGCCGTGCAGGATGGTCGAGCCTGGCCAAGGGGCAACGATGGGGGGGCTGGCATATGGGAGGGATGCATCGACCTGGAATCGGCGATACATCGCCGATAGATCGGCGATGGGCCCCCGATATATAGAATCCACATCTTCCTGTGCAGGTTGGGGCTCTCGGGCCCCTGTCCGTGATAAACGGGCGATCGGGTGTCGATGCATCCCCCGCTATGCATATCCCTCTTGGCGCTCCGCGCGGACTGGCTCCAGGTGGCGCATTTAGTGCGCGTCCAACGGGTCCCACGACAAAGGCATGGCGGCCAGAGGTGGTCCAGAGGCGCTGCGAGAATGCCCTCAAGAGGCCAGCATGGTCCATACATGATCCAGGGCTCTGCCCCCCCCGAATGCTAATGGGATCGCACCGTCCCCCCCCCTGGTGGATGGGTACGCCCGTGAGCCTCGCGAAGGCCTCGCGAATGGGATCACCCCATCCCCCTCCCCAGTGGTCGTCGCCCGGTGGGCTTTGCGCTGTGGTGGACGCTGGTGCCCCCCCCTCCCCTTGTGGGTGTAGTGTGGTTCGCCGTCGTTGTCGTTGTCGTTGTCGTTGCCGTCGTCGTCGTCGTCGTCGTCGTCGTCGTCGTCGTCGTCGTCGTCGTCGTCGTCGTCGTCGTCGTCATGGTCGTCATGGTCGTCGTCGTCCGTCGGGGTCGGCGTTGGCGTTGACGTTGGCGTCGTCATCGTCGTCGTGGTCGTGGTCGAGCGCGGGGCAGGAGGGCCAAAGACGGCCCCATGACGCTCCCAGACATGCCCCAAAACGCCTCAACACGGGCTGAATGAAGGCCCAAACCACAATCCATAGAGGCCCAAGCTGGCATGAGAGAGCTCCAAGACGGCCACGGAGGGCATCGAGATAGTACGAGAGAGCGCCCGAAGAGGCCCAAAGACCCTCCAGACGGCCTAGGAAGCCCCAACGAGAGGACCCCAAAGAGACCTGGGACCTGCTGTCGGTTTGCGTCACCAATCTTTCCCTACCCCATTTCCGTCCTCCAGCAGAGAAGCCCCCCGAGAGAGTGTTGAGGCTGCAGAGGGCAGCCAGCGGTAGTCTGGAGGGCATGCTCTCAAGCCCGAATGCAAGCACGCGAAGGCCGGCTACCTGGAAGAAGACAAACAAATACATAAACATACACTGTTGGCCCTCCGCGGGGATTTCCTGGATCCGCGCTGGGTCCCTCCCTGGCGCGCGGAGCGCGCCAGGGGCGGCGCCAGAGGCGCCGCCAGGGGGGGCCAGGCGCCGATCCAAGAAATCCGCGCGGAGCTCCTAAAGTTTATATTTGTAGCGTTTTCCCCTATATCCAAAATGATGGGGTTCTTGTTATTACTGTGACCGCGCGGACCTTCCTCACACACAGCCTCCTCCCTTCTCCTCCGTCTCGAGCGAGGCACTCTTTTTCGCCCCCAAGGGGGGCCAGATGTTGAGGATGTCTCGATCGGTTTGCTTGTTTTAGTGGCTAGACTCGTGGGTACATATTCTCCCCAGGATGACACAGGAGGCTCCAGCAGGCTGCAGGCGGCCCCAGGAGGCCACAGGAGGTCCCAGGAAGCATCAGAAGGCCACAGGAAGGCCCAAGAGGCCAGAGGATGTCCCAAGAACCTCCAGGAAGCCCTAGGAAGCTCCAGGAGGCCTCCGGAGGCTCCAGGATGCTCCACGTGGCCTCAGGAGGCCACAGGAGGCCCCAGGAGGCCACAGGAAGCGCAAGGAAGCACCAGGAGGCCCTGGAAGGCAAGAGGAGGCGCCGAGAAGCCCCAGAAGGGCCTCAGAAGGCCGCAGGAGTGGCTCCATTCCCATGTGTGTTTACGCACGCTCTTATAGATTGGGCCTCACCTGGAGCACGAATCCTTGATGTTATACGTATGCTTCCATAGAGTGTTCTTCTTCTGTGTATCCAATCCTGAATGTTTTACGTATGTTCCTATAGATTGGGCCTCCTCTGGGGCACGAATCCTTGGTGTTTTACGTGTGTTCCTACAGATTGCCCTTCTCCTGCGGCTCTAATCCGCAATGTTTTATGTACGTCAGTTCCAATCTATTGGGCCTCTCCTGGGGCACGAATTCTCCCGAGGTCCCAGGAGGCTCCAGGAGGCCCCAGGAGGCCCCAAGAGGCTCCAGGAGGCCCCAGAAAGTCCCAGGAGGTTGCAGGAGGCCCCAGGAAGCCCCAGACTTATGCGCAGAGGCGCGATCGTACTACTGAGTCTCATTCACACTCCAATTCATTCTCAATTATATTCATTTCCAGACCGTCAATACTCAAGCCCACTTATTTTCGAAAACTCTTGCGCCTAGACACTCACGGCGGATAGGTCCGTGCGAATAGATGCACGTATGGGAGCTCCACGCAGCAAGTCATTCTTCTTCGACCACCCCCCAGGAGCAACTTGATTCACCTGCGCAAGAAATCTGAAGCTTCAAAGAGAGGCCCCCCCGAGGGGGCCCTAGCAAGGCTCCCGATCTCCAGCAGGGTTCCGGGGCCTCTCCCCCCTGGGACCGGGTGGCCGCGCCGCACACTGGCGAGAGACCCCTGCTGTGGCCTCTCGAGCCCGGTCGGCCAGGCACGTCGCAGGGGCCCTGGGAGACGACGAGCTAACGGGGCCCAGGAACACACACATATATGTATATATATATGTATATATGTGTATATACATATATATATATATACAAGACTGCATTGGCGTTTCGCGCCATGCGCTTTGTTCCGGACCCTCCCCGGCAAAGTCATAAACCATCGCTTGCTTCAACGGGGGGGGGACCTCTAAGCGTGGACGGGCGACCAGCTCATTTTCTGATATCCCTGGTGCCTGCTGACACCGCGTTCGCCCGATGCGATTTCACGCTTGTGCGCATGAGTGGGGAAGGAATGCTGTTTTTTTTTTATCGCGCGAAGGTCCTGCAGGAAGTAAGGAGCGTTCCCATGACACGCCGAAGAAGTCGCAGTAGCTCCGAACACATCGATTTTGGGTAGCATCCTGACTGCCTGGAGGGCCCCAGGCACTCAGGAAATCTTCGATCGTCGAATTTCCAATCGAGATCCATTGCGTGTCTCTCTCGATCGAAGAACTTATTAAACCTCGAGCATCAAGCGTGGAACCAAGATCGTCGGGTCAGCTCGATGTACTTCGTAGGAAAACGCCGTCTGGGCGTTTTGGGTGTTCTTTTTCGCCGTCCTCGGGCCCTCTTGGGCCGTCCTGGGCCCTTATTGGGCTGTCTTGGGGAGCCGGGGCCCTCCTGAGGTCTTCTGAAGCCAGGGCTCTCTTGGGGGCCTCCTATGGCCTTCTTGGGGGTCTCCCATGGCTTTCGTGGGTCTGTCTTGGGAGCCTTCTGGGGGCATCTTGGGCTTCTTGCGGGCAGTCTCGGGGCTCTCTCAGGCAGTCTTGGGGCCCTCTTGGGCCGACTTCAACCCTCGGGGGGGCCTCTTGGGCCGTCCTGGGGCGATATCGGGGGCCTACGGGCCGTCTTGAACGTTGCGAAGTCCCAAACAGCGGATATGTTAAACTCATTTCCAAAAGAAAAGGGGCGATGTTCGCTTCTTCGGGGCTCTCTTAACATCCTCTTGGGGCGTCTTGGGGGCCTCTTGGGCCGTCTTCAGACCATCGAGGTTCCTCTTGGAGCGCTCTTGTGCTGTCTTGGGTCTCTCTTGCGCCTCTCCGATGACCCCTCTGATCGCCTTGAGTCTGCTAGCAAGACCCGGCAAGGCGCCCTGGGAGGCCCAGAAGGGCCAGCCGACCTCTTCCAAGGGCGTCCGGGGGGCCGTGGAGACTTCCGAAAGGGCGTCCAGGGCGTCCCTGGGAGGGGGTCCGGTTTAGGGGTGGGGGGGGTGGGGGGGTTCTGGGTAATAAAAATATAAAAATGTAAAGACACGCTGATCCCAGGATCCCAGGATCCCCTATATTTTCTCCCATGTTCTTGGTGTTAGTTTTCGCCCCCCACTTCCCCAGGGACACACACATAAATACACACAAATCCCAAGATGCCCCCGATTTTCTCATATGTTCTCGGTTTCCGTTTTCACCCCCACTTCCCCAGGGACGCACACATGAATACACACACAAATCCCAGGATGCCCCCTATTTTCTCATATGTTCTGGGTGTTCGTCTTCCCCCCACTTCCCATATTTAGCTATTTTTTCTTGGGGGACGACGATGATTTGTGTCTGTGTTTTGTTCCCCTCCTGACCCTGGGAGAGGACGACCACACGCCCGTCGCACCGTCGCCCACGACGCCCGGGGTGCGGCAAGTTCGCGTCGTGTCGACCCCGGCGTCGGCTCCGAACACCGCGGGGATCGCTTAACTTTGAAGGGTCGGCCGTTTCAGCAAGGCCAGATCGATCAACGATGGGCCGATTCTGGGTCGCCGGCGGCGTTCAACATTGAACGCAGACGGCGGGGTCGCCGCCGGTCGACACGGCGCGAAGCTACTGTACGGGATGGATGTGGGGCCACCTGGCACCTCCGACGACTCCTCCACCGCATGAGGCCACAGCTCCGACGCGTGACTGCTCCCGTCCCACGTCGGCGCAAGATCGAGTTGGCCACAGGTTGGCCGAAATGTGGAGGCATTGCAGCGGTGTGCATTGCAGGTTCCCGTCCACGTCAGCGTTTCGTGGCACTTGATTGTTGAACACCCCCCCGGGGAAAGGGTAGACTCAGGGGCCGCGGATGAAACAGAACA